ACTATAACCTGAACGAGATGGGGGTCATTGACCCAGAAGCTGAAATACAAGAGTTGTTACAGGTTGTTTAGAATTACACAGTCCAAATGGTAAATAATACATTAAATATTGTTAAAATTGATATAACTTTTCTTTTTGATGCTCAATTTGGTCTCTAATTGTATAGAAAAAGTTATGTAGCAGAAAAGATTTTACTTGCGCTCAAGCTTTTGTATCGTATTTAATCGTTTCATGTCATCTGGCAAAGTTTTTTGTGAAATACTGTACATTTTTGTATGTTAATTTTTTGTAGTGAGATCTGGATACTGACACCTGAAAAATATAACTACGTCGAGTGTTGTCGTTATAGACACCGGCGTTTGCTGAAAATATATTCCCACTCTTAAGTTATTTTTGACAAAAATCACTGATTTGTAAATCAAGAGATAAGGTAATGGTAAAATACCTAGATTAATAAAAAGCAGCTTACAAAAATCACGTGGGTGGAATTTGCTTATTATTCGAATACTGTTTTGTTTTTCTTGCAATCTAAAAGTCTGGGAGCTATAATATACATTTCCTCAAAATATTACACCATTTCTCAGGCGGGAATGAACATTCGCTAAATATACACAATGAGTAGTATAAAGGCTGTCTGAATTCGAAAGAATTCTGACGCGTAGCATAATGAACTTAATTTTGTGTTCAGTTCAGTTACATGGACGTTCCACTTGAGGTTTCAATTGAGAGTCCTAAAAAGTTTCACATCCTTCACATCGCTAAATGAGCTTCGTTCTTCATCGCTTCTCCCATGAACGAACTGCAGTCCTGGTTCATGGGCGCCACCAGCACAAAATTATTAGGGGAGAGATGATTCAATAGATAAGATACAGATTATTAATCGCGCTACTTTTCTTGAACGACTGTCTTGCTTCTCCTTCTCTCGCACAATAAACAGTTGAAGGCAAAAGCTCGCAGCGAGCATAGGCGACAACATTGCAATCACACCTTCACTGGCGCGAAGTAGAAACTATTTTCTGTTGAAACCGAGAACTTCTGCCCATGATTTTCTCCAAAAAATCTAAATGACCGAAGCAGGTGAAGATCCATCATAGATGATACATCAGAACTCCTCAAAAACAACGCAAATTATTGAGAAATTTGCCAAGGCACGACTGATTTTCCAGAGATTGGCATTGCTTCATAAAATCTAGTGACCGATTTCGTAACTAATACCCCCTCTCTACCCGCATTTCTTCAATCCATCGTTCAAGAAAAGTTGCGCGAGTAATACCGAGGAATCCCCTCCAATTTACCCCAAATATACCAAAAAAATATTGGGTGACGCGACTCTCAGGCCGGGACGCGATGCCCTGGATTCCGAGCATTGTACGCAACCCGCGCGCTTACTCAGCGCGGACGACGCGACGAGTGGAGAGAGTGGGGGAAGACCGACAAAAGACGGTCAGGTGGCGACAAAGGATGCGCGTATAATGATCGTTGCTAATAGTGATGGCTTCGGACAAAGAAATCAATGCCGTAGCTGATGGGAACGCCGGACGAATGGAGTGGGTAGGCGAGTGTGGCGGCCGGCCAGGGCGCCACATTTTTATGGCCAGTAAAAAGAAACTAAGTTAGGGACCAATTTTCTCACAACGCTGCCGTGACGATGGCGAATCATCCGCTACCTCAATCAGGCGGTAGTAGTACGTTTGGAATGGTCACTCGGTGACTAACAAGTCGTTCCTTGCTCGTGGTCAAGTGCTACCTTTGATCGACGATGATCGTGGTTATTGCTCGAGCCTCGCTGTCTCCACCGACTCCATTTCCGCTGCTATTGTTATCGCTGCAACCTGCAAATGGTTCGCGCACCTACATTAGCGTGTGCCCTCACACACACTCACACAGATACAAATACTCACCCGAACACCCTCACTCTCACGTGCTGCTAGCTTTGGTCTAAAGCTAGCAACGTCCACCTAGAAAATACAACTAGCCCATATTTTCCAAATATCTGGAATGTACAAAAAGAAACTGGTAGCATACATTCTTATATACACGAGAACTCAAAAACCTCTGAAAAAGAATTTGAAACCCTACACAAAATTAAATGCTAATTTTGGGCTGTATGAAAAACGTAGCTTTATTTGGAACAACCCACATTTTGGGCAAAGTATTGTAGAGGCGTTGAGGTATACAATACAATGCAAATTAATTTTGTAAGTAATGTAAGAAGACTAAAATGGAAAACAACAGCAATAATAATAATAATAATAATAATAATAATAATAATAATAATAATAAACTAGTGGTGCTACAGAATGGCACAGACTTTCCCGCATTCTTTTTCTATTTCCTTTGGTCTCGGCAAACTGTTCGAACTTGCTACATACCTGCTGCCATATATCGCCGACCAATGTCCTTTTTTTTTAAATTTCCTTAATTTTTCGGTTCCCTAATAGTAGAATGGAAATATTCTTTTAAGAATATTAAAGAACAGTAAAACCACTTCCTATATGGCAATATTCTTTGAAAAAATTGGAGCCGCTTTTAAGAAAAAAGCGTTTAAGCTTAAAGCTACAGTAAATTTGAAATTTGAAGCTCTTTTACTGAACTTTACGCCACATTAAAGAGTGCTATTAGCACTATCCTTTCAAAAAGTTTAAAGAAAAAAAATTGAGCCGTTTCGAGCGTTTCTGAAAATGCGGAAATTTGTCTGAACTTGAAACGTTTCTCTGAAAACTGTTGAGTTTTCAAGATTCTCTATATGACATTATTTAATGCACATGTACTCATAAATGTAATGTAAACAAATGTGAGTAATATTTATGAAATAAGTGTATAATGTGAATAAATATAAACGACGTTAGAGACAAGTCAAAAAATTATTTTTTGTATATTTTGTAAAACCAAAAGAATAGAGCAATTTAGCGTTTATGTCATCTTATAGAGTGCATTTAGGACAAAAAGTTTTGAGCCTTTTTGAGAAAATCTTGCTTTTGTAATTATTTAAAATTGCACAAACTGCACGCAATATTGTGCGAAATCTAAAATTTTCAAAAAAAGTTGACATGACCTTAATGGAAGAATAAATTATGGACAACAAATTCCACTTCAAGGGAAAATCTATCTTTAATTTTGTAGTTGTAGGAAGGCCTCGAAAAAAATGTAAAAAATTCTTAGTTAACCGTGAAAATCGGAACTACGCCACCTTTATAAGTTTATTTTACTATATTCTACAAGAAATTTAAAGAAAAAAATTGGAGCCGATTTTGAGAAAATTTTGAAAATGTCCCAGGGGCTTCGTTTAAAGTAACTAATGACTAATTAATGACTAATGAATGATTTTCAAAATCGCAGAGCTTTGACTCAGACCATATGAACAGGGATTTCTTCAATTTGGAAAAAATCTTACGCGTGGTCTAGGCGCTAGTGTTGTTCACATACACCAGACAGACGGATGGATGGACGGACGTTTTGAGAAAAAACACTTTTTCGGTATCAGGGGACCCCAAAACGTGTATTTCCATTGAAATCTCAAAATCAATTTTCCGCAGCATTATATAACTTTCCTTATTCTACATACATTGTATATTACTCCGTATGTACGTATGTATACGGGAAAGAAAAAATAGCCGTCATATGGGCTTGGTGCCAGGCTGGGCCAGGAAATTAGTGTCTAATTTTAGATTTGGGAGGTTTTATGCATGGAACAGAATATGCAAAGTTTTTAATTGAAGTTTATAATGAAATATGTGCAGGTTTATGGGTTTTCTTTATTTTTTATTTTTAGTGTGGAATGTATGGTTTAACAGGAAAACTTTCAGTTTGTAATTGAAAGTGTATATTGGGTTCAGGCTATTAAAGTGATTAGGGAGTTCGTTAAATAGTATAAGACCTTCTATAAGGGTGCGATACTTTCGTGAAAAAGTTAAGTTTCACTGTCATGGACATTCAAATTTCTTTTTGTCTAGTATCATAATTATGAATATCTATGTTTAGAGTAACAGAATCCTTGTTTCTCGTAAGGGTCTTCTTTACAAAGATATTTCAAATATATATGTATGGGAGTTGTGAGGATTTGTAATATTTTGAACAGTGGTTTACAGGACTTCAAGCTTGTATGCTTGTGAGGGTATGTCATTGTTCTCAATATTAGTTAGAATGAGTGAATACTGTCCGGAGAAATTTCCACAGAATATGATTCCGTATATTAGATTGAATGAACATTTTCAAAGTACCCATTCTGTATTGTATCTATGTTAAATTTGATTTAAGGTTATATGTGGCATATCATGACTTGGTAAGCTTGCTTGAGATCTGTGATGTGAGAATTCCATTTTAGATCTAAATTAGTCAATCCAGGGAGGGTTATTTTTGGAGCTATTTTTACAGGCTCGTTTTTTATGAACAAGTGTGCAAGTGACTTTTCTTTAGAGAGTGGATTCCTCAAGTTTAGGTGGTGGTTTTTTCTTGTTTATAATGAGTTTATTTTTCTGGACCTATTTTACTAGAGCCTTTAGAACAGAGCTTCTTTTTGTAAAGTTTGTTGGGTATTTGCTTTAATAATGTTTATGTCATCTGCAAGTAGGACTATTTTGTTATTTTGCAGTCAGTAGGGATATGTCATTGGTGACCAAAAGAAATAGTATAGGTCCTGGAATTTATCCTTGTCACATAATCAGCGATCAGACTAGGTGGGAAAAATGGGTTGAAAACTTATCTCTAATAGTGATTGTAAACCTCTCATTAAATTAGTCTTCTAGTATTAATACTTACACAAACAATATGTTGTCCTTTTTGTTTTTTTCTGTTTTCCCTATTATAAATGTACAGATTTTTTTAACTTCCCTATAGATATATCCCACACATCTCGTGTTGTGTGTGCACTCTCTCTGCTTAAGATTTTAAGATATATTGTAACTTTCAAGGCTATTTTTCAACAATAGTGATTCTTGTGGTTTACATGTTTTCTGTATAACTTCAATCACTTTTGGGTACCCCGATTTATGGGCTGGAACTTTTTTCTTTTTTCTTCCAGGAGCTTAAAATTAGCCTTTCATTTTGGGTAAGAATTCATAATTTTGCTACTTGAGTTTTCATGATTATTAACCCACATGAAACATATATAACCCACTTTCTCTGCATAGCCCTGATTTTTTGAGAATATGAGTTTAGGAAAAAATTACTACAAGCCTAAAACTAGCCTTTAATTTTGTAAGGGTTTTATATATTTTCTGAAGCTTTGAGTTTTCGTGTTTATTAGACCATACCTGTTCCTGTTTCCTCTTTCTTTGTACAGCCCTGATTTTTTAAAAATATTGGCTGAATTTTTGTTGACTTACTACTTGTCAACAAACCAAAATTGTATCTTCTAGGTGAGCACTGCTAGTTTTAGGTGCAATGATTAGATAATCGATAGTTTAATTTTTGTAAGTTTATAAGAAGTAAAAACATTAAAAATATTATGTATCAACAGCACAAATCTTTGTGGAGTCCTCATAAGATATGGCAGGAAGATTTGTGAAAGTTAATGCAAATAACATTTGTTAACACTTAATGAATTCTGATATTTAATTTCAACCATTATCAATATGCATACAGATGAATGTCAACCTATGAATGTTCTATTAATTTACTTCTTGAATTTGTTTTCAATCCTCTCTTTCAATAATGATGGATACAATACTTCCAAAACTCTCTTCAATAATGTAAGATATTTTTGTACTAATTTGCAAATTTTATTTCATCAATAGATGGAGGCATCCTAAATGAAACAAATAAGCAAGTTTTGTCATTCTTAAATGCCAATGTCGATTTGGCCGTGATCACTAAGGCATTTTACTTTCCTGGCCAGGGTGTACACATGACTTGGGTTGGTTGGGATCTTAATTGAAATCCATAATCAGCTGCTATATGCCTGTGGTTAAGTCGGAGGTAGGTGCTGGTGTAAAGCAAACTGTGGTTCGTCTGCACTGAAGTTGACAGGGCATATGCAGCTAAGTTCTAATGATTCTGCTTATAGAAAAAAAAATGCTCATAAAAACCAATGGGTTGAAGCACTCTAATAATAAATATTTAGCAACATAACTATTGGTTAGTACCAATGTTGCAAAAACATGCTGTCAGAAGGCTCCAACAGCTCCAGTGCAAGCTCAAACACAAGTGAGCACTATGAGCACAAAATTACCTTGGGTATTAAGAGGGTTAACACCAGTAATACTGTGGATTAGGAATTACGAACACATGGGGTGTGTTAGATCTTTTATGGCATTAATAATTGAAATAATAACAATGTTCTAAATATTTCATTAGAACTAACTACAAAGAAAAATTTAAAAAGGAAATGAGCTTTTAGTATTATTAAATCCCTAGGAAATAAATTAAACTGTTTATTAATATTTAAATCATTTTTGTAACAATTTAAATACAAAAAGAAACCAATTTGTAGAAAACAGCACTTCGTCAAAAGGAAATAACTGTTTACTATGAAAATAACTGAAAGACTACACATCAAAAATTACTGAACAGTAAAATGGAAAATCAAGTTTTTTCTTAAGTATCTGTAATTTCATATCAATGTCTTTAACTCCTAAGTTTCATTTTACTTATAAATGCATATGTAAAATATAACCAGACACAAAGAGTTATTTTGAATTATACATTACTAATTGTTACTACACATTTCTTTAGTCCATAACACAACTTTCCTCTCTTTAGAAACATAATTAACAAGCTAAAGAGCTGTTTTTAATCTATTGAACACTCAGCACCAACTTTTGTTAAAGCATCTTTCAGTTTTTCTGCTTCATCTTTTCCAATATCAGCTTTAATTACAGCAGGAGCACTTTCAACAAATTTTTTCGCCTAGAACAAGATACAAACATGTGGTAATGTAAGGGAGCGAGAAAGAGAGTAAAAAGAAAGACAGCTGGATTCGAATTTTCTACTTGACTTATTTTCTGAATGAAAGGAATATTTCTAGAAAGAGTAGTAACATAAGTTGTTTAGTTTTTATCAAAGAACAGTTTGATTTTTAAAAATCCTCTTAAATTGTAACAAAAGACTATTCCTCTCTAAAAAGTCAAATGGATAAAAAGAAAATTTGCAAACCTGAACTAAATTCATTCCCTCCATAAGATTCTTCAGTTCTTTAATAAGGGCAATTTTCTGTTTTTCATCATACTTTTCAAGTTTAACAGTAAAACTTGTTTTCACTGTTTTTGGAGCAGCTTCCTCTTCCTGAGACAAATTATTACACAGATAAATCTCTCACACATAGATTATGACTTAGGTTATGAGAAAATATAGATGAAAAGCATTTTTACCTCAGCAGGTGCTGCACCAAATGATGGCATAGCTCCCATGGCCATCACTGGAGCATCAGGTAAATTCAGTCTTTTCTTCAGTGCTTGACTTAATTCAGAAACCTCTAGTAAATTTAAATTTGTAATTGATGATACTAGCTGTTCAATCTTTGGGCTAAGTGGTTTATTTGGGGCATCAGGGGCTGGTGTTTGCAAAGGAGTCACTGTTGTTGTTGCTGCTGCTGCTGCTACTGCTGCTTCCTGCCTTAAGGTCGTTCTGAAAAGTGGGCGATATAACTACCGTTAAATTGATGTTAATAAATATGTAACAATTTTGAGGTTATAAAATTCAATGTACTTACGCGTTCGATATTCTTCTCGTATAACGTACAGAAGAACGTACGAAGTGCCGAAGAGAATGCATATTATAATCTGTATTTGAGAGCGCCAGTAATTTCCAATCCTAGGAAGAGTTTACCTACACAACACCTTCCTTTGTACAAAATCACACACACCAGGGTAGGATAAAATGCGCCGGACCGCAATGCACAAAGCACTGTGGTGAACTTGGCAGTGCTATGTTAGCAGCACTGCTAGAATATTTCAGTATATTGGTAGAACAGTGAAACAACTGAGCGTGAAAAAAACTTGGCGGGTTAATCAATTCACTTGACACAATTTTCAATAAGTCATTAACTAATAAAGGTAGATACTGTCCACTGATTGAAGAATACTGTGAAAAATTAACAGAATCTGGATAAAATATATATTGTATAATTTATTCTTCAAAACTGAAGACCATTTTCAAAGTAGAAGACAAATGCAGCGCATCGTTTCGCTGAGTCGTCGTCGTGGCGGTAAGAATACGAGAATAGGAGGAATCATCAAGGTGAGAAACCACCAATATTGTTAGGGAGACGACCATTAATCTAATAATACTAAAGGGGGAGGTGTTGAGGCAGTGTTATGCTGCGTTTCATTGGGGCACGGGAAGTAAACTTATTGTTGTGTAATTCTGATATTTAGTATTTTTTTTAAATTCCTTACAGAAATAATCCCTTTTCTTCAATCTTGCACTAAGCCAATAAATCAATTGTATACAAATTAAAAAACGTATGATGTATAAATTGATATAATAGAAATATTTTTTCAGCAATGCTAAATTAATTGAATCTTTCAAAAGCTTTTGATGTTATTGATCACAACATTTTACTTTCAAAATTACCTTCAAAATTCATAGTATTGCTCTGGATTGGTTATGTCTAACAATGATCTGAGAGATTAGAAATACTGTATTGGAATACTCACTCTGGAATTTACTCACTTTTCCGATTCATTGCCATTTGCACGTAGGGTCCCACAGGTTTGATTTTAGGCCCTATTCTCTTCCTTCAATTCGCGAGTGATATGCTCTCGAGGATTCAACACAAAAGAACAGTTCTCTTTACATCACAATAAACATTTCTGTGCATAAAATCATTATCTATTCATATGTCATATTGTTCATTTTCATAATAAGGGTCCCCGTAAACTACATTTATGATTAGCAAGGTTTGTTTTTTGTTTAACATATTTTGAGCTAGTGGTATCCAGTACTCAATAATGTCTTTGTCGACAGAAAGATTATTCTGATACATTTTCATTTAAAATTTCTGAAAATATATTATTCTGTAAATGTCCTACTATCTGTAGAATTTTTTTTTAATACTTCCTACAAAACTTCAGCCTGTCGTTGATGATGCGTGTGTCCATGCTGTTTTACAATATGTTTTACTTGAGTTCAGATGAACACAAATACACAGATGTGTGTATTCATTCTGAAGAATTCAAGACTTCAAGAAATATCTTTAGTAGTAAGTTAAAAGTATTGGAATCACCTTGACAATACAATCTTGAATTTGTAGTCCGAAAATCCTTGCTTATGGTTCTTTTGAGTGTTATATCTTACACAAAATACGATTAAGGTGTTTTAGCACTGTTTCGAAGATGGTTAAGATTGCTTGTATATTCTCGCCACCTACACCAATTTTGTACCTGAAATTTTGGATGTGTGTATGGATGGAAGTTTGCACAACTTTCACAGATTAGAAGCTTTAAAGCTGAAACTTGGTAAACATGTCAGGAGTAAGAACTACTTATGTTATTTAAGGGATCATTAAGATATTTTAATTTTTGAGGGTGCATTTTATGAATCCCTTGTAACACCTTCAAAATTTTCTGTAAAATGGCTGTAATTTTTTTCTTTAAGTTTTTTTATAGACAACCTGAATGTGCCAGCAACCATCACATGGTAATGGGAAAGGTATGTTTTACGAATGTAAAGACAACCACTCCAAAAATAGACGATGAGCTTATAGAGAACAAGGAATCGATTTTCAAGACAGGCTTCTTGATTGGGTTTAGTGTGAAACATGCTCTACCATAATGAACTGAGAAACACATTAAATTTGGAAAAGGGGGCCAATCACACAGGAATGTGTCAACACTTGAAGGGAAGTATTTTGAAAGCAGGTAAGGAAGCCCTTTGAGAAGAAGAAAGAAAAAGGAAATATATGAAAAAGTTTTCTGAGAATATAGAAGAAATTATTCAAGAGAAGAAAAAGGCATATATGAAATGGTTAAATCATAAAACACCAGAGTTCAGAGAAAAATATGTTCTTTTTCCAGAGAAAGATAAATCAGGTATAAGAATGGAAAAATATTAACATTGAGACAGGTTATGTACATACATCGGTAGAACACTAGAATAAAATAAATCATCTGAAGCCTGAAAAAAATATGAAGAAATTGAGAAGAAATAATGAGTGTAAAAGCATGGTGCAAATAATCCCCTCTCAAAAATGGATACACCACTAATGGATACACCACCCAATGCTTCTACAAGGAAGTAGAAAAACAAATTTGAAATAATTGAAGATTATATTAAGAAAGCACTATGCAAATCAAAAATTAATAAAACCCCAGGACCAGAAAACATAAGAATGGAGCTCTTGAAATACAGCAGAGATGTGGTTGTGAGATACTTAAAGAAAATGTTCAATAAGATAGAAGTAGGAGAGGATCTACCTGTAGAACGGAACACATCTTACACCCTTCAATATTTAAGAAGGAAGACAAGCAATCATGTCGGAATTACAGGGGAATAAGTATCATACCGTCAATAGAAATATTGTTTTCTAGTATTTTCAGGAAAAAAAATTGAAGACCTACCTGTTTTGAGTGAAGAGCACAGTGGTTTTAGTCAAGGACAATTATGCCTAGATAACATCAACTGTATCAGATAAGTTATAGCGAAACACAAAAGCAGAAGTAAAAATATTTGTGACCTTTATAGACGTCCAGAAGGCATATGATAGTGTTCCAAGAAAAAAAAAATATGAGAAACAATGAGAAGGGTTGATATAAAAGAAAAATAGATCAACACGGTTAAAAAACTACAAAAACACTAAAGCACAAATTAAAATTGGAGATAAGTTAACACGTTCTGTGTCCCTCCGAAAACATTAAAATATTTCCCCACATCCAAACGTTCCTAATTGTCAGAAAATTTTACAGTAATATTCTCAAAAAAAAAAAAAAAAAAAAAAAATTCAGCACGTCCTGGTATATTTCTAAATAACCATCCTAGGAAGTCCACATCAAAATCTGTGCAATAATGGGTAGTTCCATGGAAATATTTGCCATAGAAGTTGTAAATGTCTGTGACCCACATGTGGTTCATGGACATAGTAAAACCATAATTTGTTATGTTTTGTGAACATCATATTGATCACAAGACAGTGAAAATGTTAACTGGAAACATTCCAGTAAACCAGGGTGTAAAACAAGGATGGGGTTAAAACAAGGCAATAGGTTATCTCCTATTTTGCTTAATATCTACCTAGAACAAGCCCTACGTAACTGGTACAGGAAAATTTCAGGCACGGGAATAAAAATTGGAGGTGGTACCTTTTACTCCCTTCTATTTGCTGATGACCTAGTAATATTTGCTTGATGAGGATATGGTGTACATGCTACAAATACTAATAGAAAGAATATAATAAATTGGGATTATAAATAAATTTTAATAAAACTGAATGTACGTGCATTGAATAAGCTATTACAGATATAGACATGAATTGTAACAAAAAACCATTAAAAGCTATAATACCTTCAAATATCGTGGATCTTTTATAAACAACTTGGGTACATGTGCCACAGATATAAACTAAAGAGTAATTATGAGGAAAAAAGCAACCAAAGCTTTACACGCCATTTTATGAAATAACAATATTCACCAAGGTGTCAAAAGAAGGCTATTCCACTGTGTAATAGAAACTATAGTACTACGCAAAGCAGAAATGTGGCCAAAAATACAAAAAATAAGAGATAAGACTAGGACAGTAGAAATAGACTACATGAGAGGATTCCTACAACCTACTCGAAGGGACAGAGTGTGAAATGAAGAAATATGGAGGTTGAATGTAATTTGTTCTATTTCAAAGACCTTGAAAAATAGAGCATTACAATGGTATGGACATGTTAAAAGAAAGTCTGAAAACAAATGGCTACACAAGAGTTTAAAATGGCAACCACCTGAGAGGAGAAGACGAAGACCAGTTTTAGAATGGGAAAAATACATTCAGGAAGCTATGGAGGATATAATCGCATAACAGGAGAATGGGAGGACCGAGAGTTCTGGAGGGTGAAAACGGCAAGCTCCTAAGGAGAAAATGGCAAAGAATAAGTTTTCTTGTTCAAACAGAGGAATGAGCAATTATAAATATGATCTAGATCTGATTTTCATTAAAACCTCTGTAATTTTGAAAATGGCAAATGTTCCACTTTTACATGATGGCTATCACTTCTCTCAAAGATAAAAATGTACTTTTAAAAAAAGTTAGGTCAGCAGTAGGCCAAGCAATATTTAATTTTTAAAATGGATTTATAAATATTGTATTAATGTAATTACAAATTGTGAAAATTGATTTTGTTTGGTTGTAAATGTTCCATTAATTTAACATTACTTATTATATCCCTTTTTACATATTTATTACATAATTTTTTATCATTTTCTTGACATATCTATGTACACATTTTATCATTTCATTTTAACTAAAGCCCACATAGTTTCTGTTGTTTTTTTTTGAGTTATTTATGTATTCATCATCAGACATTTGTATGGCTTTTAATATTTCTTTTTTAACACTTCAAAGCAGAATGCCTTCATCAGACGGCATGTTTGTTCCACCTCTGCTTTCGGGAGCCACACCCAATGTTGGAGACTTTCCATGTATAGTGGAATGAAGTGTGGAGATATTTTGTAGCAATGCACTAAGGTAGTTTCCTGCTGCCATGCTGATGCACATTTAGCTTCACCCACTTTTGGATTCTACCTTTCAACCTAGGTCCTGGGTTGGAGGATTAAGTATGGCTGAGTATCATTTGAAGTAGTTTTCTATTTGGTAATTACAAGAACATTGTTTGTGAAGTTGTTCTGTTCTTTCAAAAACATTTTTTTTACCCTTTTTGTCTAAACTTTGCTGTTTTGGGTGTCATATTTTTGGTATTTGATAATTGTGATTACATTGCACTATTATGATTATAAGAATTTGAAGAGCTTATTAAGTTTCTTCATTAAAATTGTCTCTTATAAAATAAAGGAATCATGGTATTGCTTTTAGCTCTTTAGTTTTTTTCAAAAAATATTCATGATAAAAGTATCAATTATTCTATTGTGAAAATGATGGATACTCATTAAATTTCTTCAAACATTATTCTGTAGAAGCTAAATATTTGATAAAATATCTGTTATACATAAATCTGCATGCATGAAAAGTAAAAACTGCATTTCTATACTATTCAATTAATGTGCACATTGTGTTTTGTTTTTCTAAGAAATTAGAAGATAATTTGTTGGTTCTAAACTCTTTATATAAACTTTAAAATAAACAGGTATTTATTAAAAGAATGAAAGGGTTTTACTTACTCCATTCTTGTCCTTTTTACTGTGGGGTGATTGGCCATCCTACACCTCAATTTGCTATGAAACATGGGGTTTATATACCACAGGTTTTATCATGTTTTAACTTTTTATTTGAAAATTCAGAAACTAAGAACTGTTACATATTGACTAGTATATATTTAAACATTTATGTTTGTTTTACTTGATCTTGTATTATTTGCTTTGGAACTGTTTGAGTTTAAGCTATTTTCTTTTGTACAAAATATATTTTGAGAAAAATGAATTCTCACAGGTGTTGTGGATTTTCTTTTTAGTTGTCCATTCCAACAGAAATTTATCCACTTCATTGCTGGAAGCACTATGAGTAATATGCCACAGAGAATAATAAAAAATCCTGCCAAGTAGAAAGAAAGATCATAATCTCCTGATATATCATACAGCCAACCTGAAAAAATGAAATAGTATCAATATAAGTTGATAATTAACCCTCTTTTAAAGCTAACCATTACAGTAGTTGCTCTCATATGATGCCATAAATTGCTTGCAAAAAAGATCTTCACGTTGTTGAAAAGTGACAAATCTGGTGACTCTCCCTATCTATTTCAGCCAATATTTAAGAGTCAAAACAAATTTCTATGAGTAAATGCATAAAATATGAATTTCTAGAATTGAAATAGTAGTGACGACATGAATTCTTATAATTGAGGACATAACAATATGGTGAATTCCTAAAACTGAGATGTAAATGACAATGAGTGAATTCTCTGACTTTTTTGGTGTATTAGTACTTGACATTAGGATGTTCCTCTGCACGCATAAAAAGGTTTTAAAATTAGAGGACATAATCTTTGTATTATTGACTCAGAACAAATAAAATTTTGATGTCAATATTTTCTGTTTTAAGTAAATGAATAAAAATTTTCTAAAATTTATTTTGTATATTTAATCTCAAAAGAATATAAAAAAACAACAAATCTGTACATGATTTCATATGCTCTGGGATCTCTACCTTAATATGTATACTGCATTAAATTGAATTATGAATACTGGTAGCAACAATCATTTTAGAGAGAATTAATACGAAAATATTTGCTTCTATGTAATAAAAACTATTTGCAAAGGCAAATGAGCTACTGATTTTTGCCTCTAATCCCTTATCATGTCCTATGTGAAGGATTGGACTTAATGCCATAAGTACATGAACACTTATTTGAATAATTATATTCTTCACTCAGCTACTGAAAAAAAAGGGGGAAAAACAAAAGAAAAGAAAAGAAAAATTGCAGAAGCAAATCAAGGGTCCTTTTCAGCTTTTGCTAAATGAATTTGGAGAAACTGAATGAAAATCCTGATCAAGATAGCATCTAATTAACTTCTATTAATGTATAGGAATGTTCATTTGTCATTCATTTGAAAAATTTCCTCCATCTCAGAGTAGGTAAGAACAAGAATGTAACATTCGATATAGAAATAATGTATAAAAAATATGAAGCTTGAATTCTATTTCTGTAAGGCCATTCTAAAGAGTTGAAAGTTTACAATAAAGAAATCAAAAAATGTCTGGGGTTTACTTTTGCATTTCTTTAATAAACAGAATTTATTTTGTGGCCTAATTAAAAATCTTACCTATTTAAGCTAATGAGTTTCTGTTTACATAAAGATGAGAATTCTGGACATCAAATGTTGTTGTTTTATGCAATTCAGTAAACTTTCGTTCTTTCAATGCATACACTTCTGGTTGTTAGAGAGGGAATGGGACGAGATGGAAGAGGGAGAGAGAAGAGACAGATTGAGGAGGTACAAGATAGGAGATGGAGTGGGAGACAGTGCAGAGTAGTGCATGGAAAATTAAAAGATCAGTTGCATCCCTTCAAAAGGAAGGTTGGACCATTTTTACTGATAAGAACTAATGCAATTCATAAAGAAATGTGTTTGAGATTTTACTGAATGATGTTCCCAATTAGAAAAATTTTGTACATAAAATACTATTTGTACCTTAGTTTTGCGTGGAAGCATGGAGTGTTTTATATTGTTCAGCTCAAGTAAATGCAGTTACTTAAATTTCTTTAAGTACTCTATGTAAGTGTATTTTTAAAAATGTAGTAAATACATTTTTACTTTATTATAGGGCTTTAAATAACAAAAAATTTTGTTTTAGTCCACTTCCTCATTTTGTGGCTCAAAATGTGATGGAAAACGTTTATATCATGGCAAGGTATTAGTGTTGGTTGCACATTTTATTATGGAATTATCATTCATGTTTCCAAACTTTCAGAAGTATGTGAGCTCACAGTTATGTTTTACCTGCTAATGGAGGGCCAATAAGATTGGCAATTCCTTGCACCAGCAGTAGCAATCCATATGCATTTGTAAAGCGATCCAGGGTGATGAGTTCTACAAGAATAATTGATGCTAATGAGTAATTTGCAGAAATGGATAAGCCAAAACCACCAGCTACAATGCACAATCCTGTGTAACTGGATAGAAGGGGAACTAAACCTGTCACCACTCCACAAATGGCCATACAGATTGCGTACACAACACCAGCATTTACCCAAGATTGATCTCCAGCCCATCCTAGGACAATCTGTGAAAATAATAATTTATGACATTTTCAGGGAGCAATAACATATCATGTAAGCAGACATTTAAAAATACTTTCAGTCATATCAACACACAATAAATATAAAAAATCATCGTACAAAAAATATATCTGGAGCTTTCCTGGCTCATTATATAGGAAATGCAGAATGTGGCCACACAAGAATTGATGATTAGAAAAACATTAAATTTATTTCATTTCTATCTTACATAAAAATGAATTCTTTTGAGTTTTATATCTGTTATGTATTATCAAAGATAAATTTAACTTCTTCCATTTTGTTTTCTGTGACAGATCATTTAACATTGAATAATTTGACTTTACAAGAGAGTGCAATGTAATAACAAGTTCTTAAAAGAGCTTTCATTAAAAAGTGTTAAGAACTTTGAAAACTTTAACTGATTTTAACTTTGTTGTGTGTGCAGAAAAGTTTGAAGATAGCTTGATACGTTTCATGTTTCACTTCATGTCAAGAATGTGTCAGATCATGAAAAAGTAAAAACTTGAAACTAACTCACCACTCCTAACATGTTCAAAATTCCTAATATGCTTATTAGAAATGAAGCATCAGGTTCACTGTATCCCATTTCAATTGCCTTATCAGTGATGAAAACATAGGGAACATCATACCATGAATACAGGAGAAAGTTCGAAATGGCAAAAAGAACAAACCGAACATCTGTAAAATGGGAAAAATCAACCATATCTGCTATTACGTCTCTGAGATCCCCAAGACATGAAAACCACTGTAACAAAAAACATAATTCATTTTACTTAAAAAAAACTTGAAAAATTGTGTAATCAACCTAATCACTAAAGATTGTCTTGTAAATGTAACCAAGTTATCATGGCTTAGCAAATAGGAAAGTTGAACAAATAAAAATTAAATATCTGTTAAAATGTTTATTAAATGTAATATTTATACCTCATCTTTTTCTTCATGTATTGTTTGAGTCATGGAATTTCTGTATATATCAGGGCAAGAAGATGCACGCAATCGAGATCTTCTTATCTTCAAAACAGCACTTCGATAAATAAGGGAATGCCTGAAAAAATTATTCTGATGGATTCCACTCATATATTAAGTATGAGATGAAACTATTAATTGAAAAAAAAATATTCAAAATATTCAATATTCTAATAAATATGAAAGGGAGAAATGATTTGGGTTTAGTCTTTTATAGTTTCAATTAATACTCATAATTAATTCAATAAATTCTTGTAGTATCTTAGTAATTAAATGTTCTCACAGACAGATGTAGTCACATTCACTTGAACTCACCCCAGCCAGCAAGTTGATTTTGTAGAATTGCATGAATTAATGCTATGACTAATAAGTTCAGGTAATTCCTGCAAATTACAGCATCTTCATCCTATAGAGAGAAACATTCGTGTGAATGAGAATTTATTAGCAATGACGTTAGTACTTTTCTTTGTTGTATATTCTACATAAATCTTTGTGCTGGCTAGTGAGAGAAATTTATTTTCTACTGTGAGATTCAGCAATCTTATTATTGATACTTCAGGCAATATAAATTGATACATTTTGAAATGTTCGATTTTTTTTTTCTGTCTAAAAATACTTTACCTGTGCACTTGCAAATTCCTCAAATATTGGGTTGTGCGCCTCTGTTGGTACTGATTGTTTTCATGTGATTTTTTCACCCACCACTGAAATGCTTCCTCTTTCGTGGCATTTTTAGGCCATTGTTCACTTGATTTTTCACATTCAGATCGATACAACATGGAAGAATTCTGTTGTGTTGAAGGATGTGGAATTACAACTAATGGAGACCATTTCTTGTCCTTGGGAGAAAATTCTTTTCCTTCCAGAATCTGATTAGGATTTGTATTGTCTTGAATACTTGTGGAAGGATGGTGCTGTTGATTTGCATATTTCTTTAAATGCACCCTGTACTCACTTTGATTGGCACTAAGCAATTCAAGCACTTCCAAGGGAACTTTTTCACCATTGCAAACATAAGTGGGAATATTTAGAACAGAATTGAAATGTCGATTTACTTCATCATTGTACGAATTTACAGGAATATTATTCTGTTGGGGTGGTGCCTTGTTCACAATGTAACCTGACAGAAAAAGAAACAAACATAAATTTTGCTTTTCAAATTATAGTAAATTAATTTATAATTATGATTATTAAAGAAATAAAATAATATATTTATCATAATTGGTTACTGATTTCCAATTAATGATGTAGAAAATGAGTAACATGGACTGTGCGGAGAGGGAGGGATTAGAAGAGTCATGCCCTCCTGAAAATTTTGAAAAGGGCCTCACAACCGCACGTAATAAAACATTTGATTTCAAAAAACATGTTTCATCCTTGAGCTTTCCCTTTTAATCCTAACATTTTGAGGAATTGTTATATGACAATTGTGCAAGAAGTTCTCCAAGCCATCTGCCAAATGGCTGAACCTAAAATCAACTGTATTTAGTAATTGAATCATGAAAGTTAAGTATTATATTATCTTTGTTGAATATTTATTTATTTACTAGTAAAATATGTCATATTAAGTAAAATAGATTTTTTGTAAAACAGATCTCAAAAAGCAGTGGCTTTCCTTCTTGTTTTATGAAGTGCATGCCTGGATCTACAAACTAATTTTTGTAAGGTACATTCAAACTAATTTCTGTAAGATATTGAATGACAAAAGTTTGCAAGAAAGTGTAGTTCTGAAGATATAATGCAATCAATTTTCCTGAATAGCCTCCAATATATGTACAAGTGTAGATCATATACTACTGTAATTTCTTCTAACTAAGCAAAGAGAATGCCCATTGGCTTAGCTAGAGTTGCTGTCATTCAGCACATGCGCTTTGAGGGTACACATCCCATTCCAGTATCTTTTCAAGTATGTTCAGTTATTTTATTTAAAATTTAATTTTTTTACTGAAGTAATTGGTGTAATACATTAATGATGAAACGTATGTGTTATGTTATATTCAGGCTGTGAAACAATAAAATTATTTACACATGTTTTGTAGTCCTTGATTAGCCAAAACATTAAAAATGCCAAGGCAATGAGTATTTCGAAGATTCTTTTAAACTGACTTGTAGATGTAGGTGAGCTTGCATTTTCATACCTCTAGGTGATGACCAATAAGCGTATTGTTTCCTAGTACTTCTTCTCTAGCCACTGTGTGGTTTTCTTTTTTGATTCAGTAACTGGACAAAAATAATATTACCTAATATTGACTATTATTTAGCATAAAAACTGTGTGAATCATTATATGCATGCACAGCTGTAAACAACGAGGAAGGGGGGGGGTGCAACTACATTTCTGGACCCCCTTTCTCATTGTACTTTTTATAATTAAATATAGCATATTTTACTAGTAAATAAATAAAGCTTGTGCCATATCCTGATCAAGTGATTTCAACCATTCGATTTAATTCAATCTTCCTAGAATCTGTGATAAATATTGTTTTTTCCGGAATTCTACAAAATTTTCTGTCCACTCTCGTGTGTTAATGATTAGCAAACATTTTAAACTTTAAAAATTGTACAGGGAAAACCTTGAATGCAAAAGTGGTAAATGAAAATTGTCCCTCTTTTACAATTTATTTTACTGTACTTAAATATTCCACCAATTATTTCCTGAAACCTGCTGTGGAATGTGGAACCATAGCGATAAATTCTGTTCCAGCGCCAAAAAGTCGTTTTGAAAATGAAATCATTGAATAACAAAAGGACTTCTTAAAATTTCAGAGAACTGTTCACATGCTTTAGTTGGTCGCTGCTAGATGTGAAAAGAAGCGTAGCAGAATTTGTGTAGTTAGGTGGAAGAATAGGCCTGATGGCCTGACCCTCGCCACGTAAAATAAGGCATCATTGAATTGAAATACGCCGCTAACCCGCTTGGTCCTCCACAACTTTTTTTCGTAAATCGGGCTGAAGTGGAACCAACAGCGGAAGCTCACCTTCCCTTAATGGCGGAAGGTGAGCGGTCTGACCATGATGGAAACCATGGGGCCTGCCAGATACCCGAGGTTCGCCCCGTATCAGTATTGCCAGATTAGTTTTCGTCTTCCGTGGGCATTTTAAGGTCTCTACACGCGTACGAATTTGACGGGCCGACCGGCCAGTCAATCCGACAAAGTGTACCGTGTGGATGCAATTTGTCTAACAGAAATTTTGTCGGGCGGTTAGCCGGTTCCGACCACCGATTTCTCCACCTTACTGCCATACAAATTGTATATTGTGCAATGTTGGGCCAATCTACAGTGATTCCGGTCCTGAAAATGCTGGCTCAAATGTGAAACAGTTGTTTGATTGGAAGGTTCACTGGTGTTTAATGGTTTTGAAGGTCGTTGATTACGAATATGATGTTGAACATGTCAATTTAGGGAGACGTTTATTTAGTTTTTTTGTTGCGGATTTTTTAAATGTCTAAATATTAGTTTTCATATCTAAATAACTATGATTGTATATTCAAGAAATTGACCGAGTAAAGAGATACTAATTATAGATCTGCAAGAAATGGTAATATGTCCCGCTTTAGAATTTGTGCGGATAAGTTGATGATCGCCGATCAGTAGAAAGAAGTGGTGTTTAACTGCGGATTCCCTTTTTTAATGTGTATTTAAAAAAAAAACACTCGGAAAATTATTTCAGATGAGTTTTGTCACTTGTATACTACGTTTAGATTATTTAACAGTTTGGACGTTTTAGAGTAGAGTCACTATTGGATACAGAGAACAGCGCAGCTGCCGCCATTTAATACCGTCCCTCCTGACAGCCCCGCTAGGCAGCATTCAGGAGCGGAAGGAAAAGTGTAACAGTCGGTGACCTTGTGGAGATCTTCAAGAACATTAATATTGGTTTGGATTCGTGTTTTTCAACATACAGTTCCAAATCTCCTGACAACTGGTTATGAAATGGCCGGATCGGTGGAACAATGGAATACGCTACTCTCTGTATCAGGGAGTATATTTTTAGTGGTTATCACTACACCATCTGTGCAGAGGCGTATCTACGGTGTGGCAGACATGGCACGTACCATGGGCGCCACTCTTAAGAGGCGGTAATTAAAGTATACCCGCTAAAACAAGTAACAATCACCCTAGTTTGATGTATCAAATAACACCCCTAATTTGAAGTATTCGGACTTGGGGGCGAAAATTCTTTGCTTGCCATGGACGCCAGAATAACTCGATACGACTAGGATGTGTTACTCTGTGGGTAAATGGATGAAGGTATGTGTAAACCCTGCTGACCTGGGGCGGCGTCGCCGCGCTGCAGCAGCCGTCTGAGCTCGCGAGCGCTGGAGCAGGAGCCCCCGGCGGCGGCGGCGACGGCCGCGGCGGCTGCGGCGCTGCCCACGGGGGCGGTGGCGGTGGCCGCGGGGGCG